ATTCTGTTATGAATTTCATTCATAGTATCATATATATATTGCTGCAAAAACTTAGGCATTTGTCCAGCTTCTGGTAATATATCACCAATACGATGATAATTTTCTCCATTCATTTTGAAAACATATGGTCCACGACCATTGTTAACAGAATGATCAATCTTTCCTCCCAAAGATGTGAAAGAGAACATCATATTGTATGCTCATATGAATTCTTGCAAATATTTTCCCAAATCATCACTTCTGCATAGCAAGTCGAATAATTCCTTAGGAGGATTTTTAAGGAATGGAAGTACCAATTTTCCTTGTTTACAACACATTGTAAACAACGGTTGCGTCTCTCTCCTCTTTCTGGTAATTCTTTCATCGTACCACATATAAGCTCCACAACTGAGATAATTATATATAATGGATCTCCATCATCGTAGTAGCCTGAAATTAAATATGGCACATTGTTAAAATTGTGTATTATATACTGAAAAAATGAATTTATCTTTGTTTACCATTTAGTTGAGTTCCGATGGCAATGGTTGGAGGTGATCTGTAATTGTTAGTTACAATACTTGCATTCTCTAAACCCTGGGTCGATTGAGAAAATAAGTAATCTTTCCTTCTTGACGAAGAATCACCGAGGTAAAAATCTGGACTATATTCATCTGGTTCATCATCATCATCTTCAGATTCACTTTCCATACTATATCTATTGTGATTACTGTGTTAATAGGTGAAGAAAAAAAAAATCAAAACAGTTTTTAATAATAGCAATAGTTAGTTCTAATCAAACCTTGAGGATGTTGTTCAGCTATCAATACTTGTGAATGATCTTTGAACATTTGTTGTTGTTCCAGAAACTTGTTTCCAACTTCAGTTTCCTTTTTGTTTGCCATATTATCTCGAAAAGCAGCATTCAAATTCTTTGAGATATCTGTCAAATATGTTTGACTTCCATCTAAATTTGTCAATCCTGAGCAATCTGAAATTATTTACACAAGCACCATGAATTGTTGATGTCTGTGAAAATAATGTTTTCTCAAATTGAATAAGAAAATCATACCTGATGGTGTGTTAGACAAATGTTTTCTCTTTCCTTCCATCTTTTTTCTTCTCTCTTCTCTAGAAGTAGTAGAATCATGAAGCAAATCATTCGTTATGTCTGATAATGGAGTATTTGATGCAGTTCCAATCAAGCAGGTTGGCACTTGTTTTCCTTTCCTCCCAACTGTTGGTAGAATTTAAATATATTAGAAATCATAGCCGCCATCTACATTTGTCGTTTCACATAATATATCTTGACTATAATACGAATTCGATGTCCCTTACGATGATAGATTTCGAAATAAATTAAAAGCATATAAACTCACCCTTTTGTATTGGTTCTGGTGTAATGACAGTATTAGGTATTTCAAATCTTGATTTCTTTTGGGGACTTCCACCTGTAGGATGAAATATAAAATTGATTAGTTAGGATATAGAAATGGTTTGGGTGATAAGATTAATGGACACTTATGTTGTTTCTAAGGTGGGGTTTCATTTTGATTTTCATTGTTTGTTGTATTAATTTGCTAAATTGGATTTCTTTGTTTTTCAAAACAAAAACAAATCACTTTAAAGAGAGAAGTGCATATTTTCAGCAACAATGGGTTTATTTGTTCGTTTAGTCCTAAAAAAACAAAGGAGGTGTTTTGTTAAGTTTCTCCACGTTTGTTATACCTTTTTGCTTCATTGAATTTCTTTAACTTTTTGGCCAAAAAACTTGGAAAAGCACGACAACAGAATATGTTAATTGAACATGGATTGCCACCGTATTGTCACCGTCTTTGCTACAAAAATATTATGTGTTCTTCATAATTTTCAGATTTCTCACCGTCATCAAAAGAGAATAGACGATCTTCGCGAGTACGGAGAAATCATAACACGTCTCCAACTTTTACGACCTAGTCTTATAAATTGACGACATTTTTTCCTTAAACGCAATGAAGAATAGAATATGGACAGAAGTCTTCTTAATCACGCTGCCTACGATATCTAGTCTGTAAGATGATTTTCTTCAAGACGTTGTCCTTATTTGACGGAGATGACCAGCGAAGTTGCTTGGGTAAGAAGGGAGGCAGTTGGAGAAAATGTTATTGTATGTGTTGGCCAAGTATGACGGAAAGGAGAGTTTGGCAGATCCAAGGCTGACAATTCTGGCAAATAGAATATGTTTGGTCTAGTGGGAATCTTAATTTTGGACACTATAAATGTCAAATATTCGAAAAATCACATAATAAAATCTGTTACCTCAAATACCAGAGGAGTTAATTGCAATCTACACTAATTTAGGTGTATATTAAGAATGATATATTTGTTCCTATATATTAAGGATGATATATTTGTTCCTATATATTCTATAATAAATAGGCGACCCAAAATTGTAGTTGATTTGGTGTTTAATCTTGAGAATATATATATTTTTTCTTCTTATTATGGAAAAGTGTGGTTATTCAATTAACGTTATGATCCTAAATTTTAGAATTCGAATCTTAAAACAAATGTATGCATGGATATAATCATTACTACAGAGCTCTTTAAAAATATATGTTTGCATGTTTTAGTAAATGTTTTTCGAACATTATTTTATTTAATATATATAAAACTACAATTTCTATAGGAAAATATATCATTTTCGACATTACATTTTTTGGAAGAGAAACAAAAGGTTCGTTGCAGCTCGATAAACTACACGTAATTTCAATTATATTTTTTCATTTAGCAATTTCAAAATGTGTATGATTTGAGATTAATTCATTTTTGTTTTGTATTTGAAAGCATTTTGTTAAGAAACCATTGTTCTGTGATGATGGCAGTCTTACCGTTTCATCTTCCCAAGAACAATCTATTGTGTCTGGTGAAGAAAGCGAAATAAATAACACACACCGGTCTAAATTTTTGGCATGGATGGATTGTAATAAGGTGTATCCAGAGGCTAGGACTCTCCTTTATACGGAGCTTCCATTATCTTTTGTATGGCACGCAAAAGATAAAAAAATGGGTCCGACGTCGTATGCATACTGCAAGGGAACACCGTTTACCATGCGTTCTGATACATGCGTAGGAGCTTTACCATTTAAGAGTTTTGTTGCATGTTGTTAGAGGTCCATTGTCTTTCGAAGATATTAGGGCAGTAAACGGTGTAGTTGATCCTACTTTTAAAGAAGCATGTATTGCTTTTGGTTTATTTGAAGTATAATTTGCCTATTGGCAATTTTATTTTTTTCTAATAATCGAATCATTTCTCAATTTTTTTACAAATTATATAAGTAACGTCTCATGTCGAAGTCATGAGTCATCTCCAGTAGACGAAAGCCAAAATAAAGTACAAGAAAATCTTAGATAATTTGCATTCATACCATCGCATCTTCTCCACTCTCGCTCATCATTATACTATTTTGTTTTCAATTCATTGTTTGTACAATTTGTTTAATTTTCTGAAAATACAAACTTACATCATTAACGATCAATTTGCTTTGATTAGTCACAGAAATCGTCATAAAGTTATATAATAAGCTGTGACTCCACCTGTCGTCACACACAAAAGTTTCTCATTGAAAGCTTCTTCGAGCTTCTTCCTCAGAAATTTTGCTTCAGACTTGTTTACGGACCATATAATAAGTAACACGGTGCACGGCAATGGTTTCCCAGATGTAACTCCTCTGCTCTTATTACAGAGAAGGAGACACATATTGTCTAGATAAGCTAAAGATATCTTTTCCTTCAAATGGTGAAGTCCAACCCTCAGAGGTTGCTGGTTGGTTTTCCACGGCGACACCAGCACCTACATTCTCCATAGATAGACTGTTGACTCGGTTTCCCATAGAACCGTTTAGACTGTACCTATTCAAGTTCGCATCATATATGTCATTGTTAATTTTTGACCCTGACCAGATTCCATAGAATCTAGTATTTTGAGATAAACCTTGGTCTAGACTCCAGTCTATGTTTGTGTAGTCAACCGAACCACCAGAGCTCCAATCTATTGGTGATGATGCACCTGATGTTCCTGCTGAAACAACCGCAGAGAACAATCCCAGCGAAGACACAGCAGATATGGATGACGATGGTGCAATGTTGTTTTTAGTCCATAAGTTTGCCGTTCCCTCGATCCACAGAGTTGTTACTGAATCGCTTCTGGTTTTGATAGAGGAGCTGCTGGTATATCTGATTTTGATTCAGATCATTTAGACTCGGGTTTGGATTCATATTGCTTCAGACTTGTTTACAGACCTCGTTTCCATGAAAATTCAGGAATGTTTTCAGCTCTGCTCTGCGGAGAAGAACACCATGTCACTTACCCAACATCCAATCAAGAACCTTTAAGCATAAATGTGTATCAGAATCAAGAAACACTCTACTATAACAAGAAAATGGATCACATTTCCCGTGTTTATAGCTGATTTTCAAAAAACAGAAACTATGATCAAACTATACAAATGGAAACAGTATTCAGAAATAAAGAAATCCTAATCTTTCGGTTTTGTCCATCTCGATTGTTAGGTTTGGCGTTTTAAACCATCACAGGTCTGCCGTTCAACGGGTTAAAGCCGCGGGTTAACAGTTTAATATGAAAAACAGAGCCTATGATTTCAACCATTTAACGATTAGTACGATAATGTATTTATCAATTATCTATAATCAATTTACTAAAGCAAAAGTTACAAAACCTAAGAAAACGAAAGGGAAACTTTAAATCGTTGTCACTCTTAAGAAAACTTTAAGCAATCCCTTTAAAAAAATTGATCACAAAACAGAGCCGAGGAGTTGTCATTATCAATAAACTGTTGCGAAATCAATTTCTGTTTTTGAGAGAGAGAGACACTCACAATTAAGCTATTTACCACATCACTACATCAACCCGTATCACATCTCTATCTTTGTACATTCTTCATGCATTTGACATGCAGGTAAATGAATTAGGGATGATATATTTTTTCAGATAAATATACTTAAAAGATATATTAAGGATCATTAAATTGAATTATAAGATACTAAATGGCAAAAAGAAAATGAAAATCAAATTTAGTTCTTTCAAAAATAAATAAAATATATATAAATAAATATTTTTGCTATTCAAGTACTCTTCTTGGTGCTTCCGTGCTACTCATCATCATCATTGCTGTTTGACAGTGTGGCTTAAATGTGTTCATCTTCAGAATCAGTAGCAAATGGATGATCCTCAATTTGGTACTTATATTGTATGACTTTGGTCTTCATATTGTCAACTTCCGCCAAATTAGGATTTATGAGAATTTCTGAGCATTTGTAAGCGGAAGTGACGATTCACTCACCTATGAAAAAACAGAGTTTATTTTTTTTTGTAAGAAAGTAAACTCTATACCCTGTTTGTAAAATATAGAAAACATATATATATATATATATTTGCATCTGAAATAATTACCTTTTGTATACATTATTTTTGCAAACCTTATAATGCAAATGTTAATGTCATCAATTTTCTCGTAAAAATCTAGAGCGTACACGTTTGGTAAAAAACATCGAAGGCGGCAACTCCTGTAATAAAGATTTAAAATTAAATTAGAAATTTCGAAGAAAAGCTAAAATAATTTTAAACATATGTTTTATAAATAAATGACCATACGTTATGTTACTCATTTCAAAATAGATCTCCTCGGATATGTTGTTGAATTTTGGAGGTTAATGTCTGAACAAATCTTTGACATCAACCACATGTCTAATTAATTATATATAAAAACAATTCTCATATTTTTAATAGTTAAAATGGGTAAATTATCAAGATATGAATAAAATTTACTTACCAACACAGAAGTCCAAATTGATTATCCCAATTTGAAAACTTTTAAATTTCGCAAAATCAAAATAGTATTCGGAATCATGGAATGGAACACATCGAAAAAGGTTGTAGACTGCCACACGATCTTAAATCGACTGTTGGTTAGCTTGAAAGAGTCAGACACCCAACTGAGTTGGAAGTTTGCTAAAATTATCTATCTACCTTCTTCTAATCTTTTATGATATGGACGGTCAATAAATTCTTTTGCCATGGTAGCTTGAATTCGATCTCCCTGAAATAAAAAATATTGATCTATTGTTAGATCCGAAATATTGAGAAACAGTATTGAGAAAAATGAAAAGGTATGAGATGTGAAAAACCTCTCCAAACACCAGTATAAGAGTCATTGAGCGAACAATAGCAGCCCATGGAGGCACAATTTTATCCAAGAATATTGGTAGAGCCTAAGAGAAGAATGTGAAGAAAAAGCGTCGATAGTCTCGTGGAGAGATCGAATCACACCTCCACGTGTCACTACTTCCACTCTCTCACCTGTCATCACCACCACAAGCAAGTAAAAAACACAACACTTAAAAGAACACATGTGTTGTTGTGTAGTAGTAATAGTAATATGATTTGTAAGAAAGAAACAAACCTTTATGTTTCTCGCCGATTCTCTGTAACGCAGATGTACATCTACCATAAAGTTTGTCAAGACTTTCTCCTCCGCCCTTTCAATTCATATAAACGACCACAATTAGTTGGATTTAAGAAACCAGTCATCATTCATATACTACACTATGTAAGCTTCTTGGTTATGTTATAACATCATACCGGAATATCAACATCTGTGCGGTTAGATGAAAAGGCCTTGTAAGCTTCGGGACAAATTTTGGAAGCTTCTTGATACACAAGACCTTACATATCCCCTAAATGTCTCTCCCTTAGATCATGATCAGTAAGTACCTGCATAACATTATGTACAGTTCAATCTCTATAAAGCCAATTTTGATCAGAACTTAAGAGAAGAAAGGTAGAGACTTTCCGGAAACAGATTCATAAAAGGAAGTGGGTTTTTCAACAAATAACTTGTATGTGTTCTTCAATAAAATCTGTTAATAATACCTCAAGCTTGCCGCATTTAGCTGCAATGATCTGTGCAGTCTCGAAGGCTCTCTGCAAGTCAGAAAAGTACACATAAGATATCTTAGGCTCCTTTGATAAACGCTCTGCAACCTTTTTTTCCCCAAAAGAAAGAAGAGTTTAAAAGGCATCATCATCACCATTCAAAGGTTACAGAAAAAATCAGAATGCAAAATGTTGTAAGTAAAAGACACATACTTTCACTGCTTGTTGTCTTCCTGCATCGTTTAGCTCAACATCCAAATGACCCTACAACCAAAAAAACCCAATCAAATTTGTCTTAAAATATTACCTCCGTAGCCATAGAGTTTCCTATTAAAAGTGTACAGAGCAAAAGATGCTGATTCTTCACTACTGGAAATATCTAAGAACAAAAACATTAAGCAAAATATTCTTCAAATGCTATGTGCAATAACAATAGCAAAATCAACGAAACAGAGGGATAACATCCTAGGGAAATTTACAAACCCTCCAGATAATCAATATGGCTTCTTTCAAAATTCACTAGAACAATCATCAAAAGCGAAAGAATGATCACCAGCGTTGAGTTGATCCTGAGGGCGACTGGATTTGATAAGAACTTCGAGATCGACTAATCCAAGAGACATGAGACCCAGCGTTAATCCTGCCATGAGCCCAGCAAACGCCACAAGAGAATGATCACCGGCGTTGAGGGATAACAATCCTAGGGAAATTTACAAACCCTCCAGAAAATCAATTTGGCTTCTTTAAAAATTCACCAGAACAATCATGAAATTTGAAGTCCCAAATTCAACAAAATCAAAAGCGAAAGAATGATCACCAGCGTTGATTCGATCCACAAGTGCTATGATTATCACGAGGAAGAACAAAATTTCCTTTTCTAAATCAAAAAAATGACATGTCACATTTATGACCTGGCATTCTTTTGCACTAAATTTGATTGAGAGAGGCATTTTTTTAGTAAAAGTACTTGTCAAATAATATATAGGATATGAAAGTAAAATAAGAGATTAGCTCAGATTGGGGCTATACATGTAGTTTTATTGTGTCCACTCTGACCACATTTACCATATTTGTAATTTTTTTATTTGGTACAAGACTTACCATACTCCCAATAAGAAGGAATCCTCTTTTTTTTTTGCCTCCCACTAAGAATACGAGTAGCAGGTGGAAGACAAATAAAATTAGCTACATTAGGAGGGATGTCCCAATAAGTCTTATCTCCAACAGAAATAAATACTCTCTACATATGCTAGTATCCACCTGTGAGAATATAATATGATTAGCTATACAGAACAACACAAAATGAATCAAGAATAAAGGCATATACAAAAGAGGCAATAGTACCTTTCTTTGGTGAAACAATCATCGACATAGTTATTTTTGTTACGTTTGGCAGCTTTGGCGGCCGCAATCGTATAAGCACAAGGAAATCTTTGAATATCAAACACACAATATGTGCATTGCCTTGACATCAAATTCACAACCTCCTTTCGCTTGTCACCCTTCACCTGAAACTCAAGCTGATTGATTGGACACACTTCAAGCCATCATGATGAACTATCATAGGATTCCTTCATTTTCTTCCCGACTTCTAATGTCACTGGGTGCGGATGACGTGAACTCATCCCATGCCTTTACTGGAACCACCTTGTCAATATAGACTTAATAGTGTCAAACAGGCACACTATAGGGTATTCACGAGGGATAGTTAACAAAGAGTTAAGAGATTCTGCGAGGTTTGATGTGATGATGTTATAGCGAGTGGAAGGTGCATAAGCGCGTGACCATTTCGTGACATCAGCTTTCACCAGATAATCTGCGAGCAATGGATGAGCATTCTTCATCTCGTTGAACAAAAGATTAAAATCATACTCAGTGTAAGCCTTGATTGCCTACTGAATCAAAGCCACAAGAGAAGCGTCCTTGAAATGTGATTCCACATTTTTCTCAAAATGAAAACTGCAGATGCCATGATGAGCCAGTGGGTAATTTATCGAAACAACTTTCGCAATAGATGGTGCGCGATCCGACACAAACACTAGATCGACCTCATCTGGAATGATAGTCTTCAGGCATCTCAAAAACCACTCCCACGAGGCATCATTCTTAGAGTCAACTACCCCGAAAGCAATGGGATATCAATTAAAGTTACCATCTTGCTCTGTGGCACCAAGCAAAGTCCCTTTAAATTTTGCCTTCAAGAAAGCACCATCGATAGCAATTTCTTCCTTAGCACCTTAAAACCTCTAATGGATGCGCCAAAGGACAAGAAAGTGTACTTGAATTTTCCAGCATTATCTACCTCAATGTAAGTTGCAGACCCGGGATTATTTTGCTTTACCATGTGGAAAAAACTTGGCAGAGCTTCATAGCTATCTTCTGGAGTACCTCTAGCAATCGCTTGGGCATGTTCTTGAGCTCTCCAAGCTTTTGAATATGAGATAACGACACCATGATCCTTTCTAGCTTTTTCTATGATCTGTTTAGGTCTCAATCTAAGCTTCCCTCCATCGTAATGATTACTTAGCATAGTACCCACGACTTTTGCGCTTGCTTGCCGATTGTTAACATGCCTCAATGATGAGTCACAAGTATGCTCATGCACATACTGCCGAACAACAAAGCTTTCGGAGCCCATAACTCTTGTTGCACGAAATCTCCAGCTACAACTTTCATCAACACAACATAAAACATATCGTTTCCTGTCTGATAATTCAGTGCGGAACTTAAAGCTATGAAGCATCAAAAACATTCGTAGCTTCGTGCCCATTTCGTTTTTGCCTTTGAATAGCTTTCCACAATACACACCTTCTTTATCAAAAGCAATGAATTGTGAGAAACCAGATGGAGCCGCACGTCCTGGGTCAAGGGATGATGATAATTGCAAAATTCCTGACATTGTACTTGATTGCAATAGTCTCTGCAGAATAGAAACATCCATATATATCAGGGATGAACAGATTATAAAACATTTGCAATAGGCTCATTTTTTTATAAGCATACAACAACATAAGCAGGGGTAATAAATCTCTCATTACTTATATGGATGTTGTTTCTAACCATGAATGAACGAGAGTTTGTTTCTCTCTGTAACATAAACATTATACTTCATGAATTTGCTTTGTAATCATATATAAACAAAATAATTATAGTAATTACCTCATCCATAGCACGAAGGGGGCAACGATGGGAGCTAGAAACTTCAGTACCAGGTTCCGTGCTCTTTATTTCCTTCACTGTCACACATAACTCAAAAACTCATCCATTCTCTTGAATCTTGTGCATAAAAGCTTTTAGTTGCCGATCATTCATAATGACCATATGAAGGAATTTTTTTGATTCTAAAAGAGAGCTTGAAAGTGATCCATAGCTAATTTTCAGATCATTGGCATTACCATCAATTCCAAAATCTTCTAAAACAATCGCAACCAACTCGTTGTAAGTTATTTCTCTTTGATGAGTATAAAAGAAGCTCCTATGTCAGGATCAACAACGAACTCTCATTGTGTGGTATTAGTTAAATTCCAAGCTCTACACATAAAACACATCTCAAGCATTTCGCCTGGTGAAAAGAATATAACAATTTATAAGGGTTTACAAATTTACAAAATTTATTGTCAAGAATCTAAGAATCAATCGGAACCTCTTCTTCGCAAATTGGATATCCACTTGACACTACATAATCCTTTCCCCTAAATCATATGCCAATGAATCATAATTTCCTAGAAATTCAACAAGTTTTTTTGCGATTTGACAGAATCAGAAGGTTCATACCTTTCCTCAATTAATCCAGCATAATCGTCGACGAGAGACGATGTGCTTCAGTTAGTTAGATACAAAATCACCGGCGAGATACAAAATCGCCGATGATCAATGTTGTTCTTCTCTTTCGATATCGGAGTTTTGTTTGTTGAGAACGTGTTATCGATACAAGGATATAATGGTCAATAAAAATTAGTATTTTTGATTGATGGTAGTTTTAAAAATAGTAATTAGAGAAGTAGTAATTCTCAAAATTTCCTAATTTATATATGTGCATAACTAGCAAATAGTATAAATGATATAATAAAGTGTAGAAGTATTATATAGATTTATTAAACCAAAATTAAATTTTACATGGTTTTTTATTGAATTTTGTTTTCCTCAATTTTTATTGAATTATTTTTATTTATTTAAAGATTTCGCGAAAACATACTCTCATCATATAATCAATATATAAAAAGTTATGAAGAGTAAATACAATGTTTTTATATTCACTCTACTATTTTATATAATCAAATTTATATCTATTTGTTCATTTTTTCTTATTCATATTAAAATGTATTTTTTCCACTGCTTCTTCTTATCTAATTTCTTATATCACTACAAAAAGTGAATATTGTGATAAATTGGTTTGTCATAATATTATGACGGAATTATTTGAGAGGAAAAATGTTATTATTTTGATATAATATTGTGACCAAATCAAAAAGTGATAAATTGGTTTGTCACATATATAATTAGCGAGAATCATGCTATTATCAAAGTAATCTATATATAAAATTTTCTAAAGAATAAATATGGTTTTTTATATTCATCCGATAAAAATATAAATAAAAGTTTATATATGCACAAGTAGAAAATAGTATAATCTTAGAATAAAATCTAAAAATATTATATAGATTTTTTAAAATAAAATTATTTTTATTTAATTTTGTAATTTAATTTTGTGTTTCTAAGTTGAATTATATAATTTTTGTTTATTGAAAGTTTACATACGATCATGCTCTTATCAAATAATCAATATAAAAAAATTTATTGATAGCATGCATTATTTCATCATATTAGGAATCATAAAGTATAAGTTTTGCATTATATTTCATCCTTTAAATGTCCAAAAGTGTCTCATTCGCATCCATTTTATGCATAGCATGCATCTAGTTTAGGATTTCATTTTGCATACATATTGAGAATATTTTCAGGAATTTATGGAGTTAAGAAGGCATTAAGCAAAAGGATGACCCAAGCAAAGGAAAGAGGTTCAGCAAGAAGAGGCGTTTCTAGGCATGGAGGTACTTATACCGACCAAGTGTACCATGGAGAACAACTCTGTTCTTCCATGGTACGGTATGCACCGATCAAGACGTATCTGTACAACCAGTAGTTTCATCGGAGGCGATTCAGATCGATGCAGTAGCGGTTGTACACCGATGAGTTTCCACGGTGCACCCATACGGACGAAGGCTTGACCGTACACCGACGAGTCTGCTCGGCATGAGGAGCTTCAGGACATATCAATGAAGTGCACCGAGGAAAGCTGTCTGGCACCTTCCACGGTACGTCCCAAGATTGAGCCTTCACCCTAGCCAAACTCCAGACGCCAATTCTTCAGCACAGACCGACCAACTGCACCGAGGAGAACAAGAACTTGCCTTCCTCGCTATCGGCTATATTCAGAGTGTTGACCGCGAGTTAACTAGTTGACCTAGGGTATTTTTGGTTGATTAGGTCTATTTTGGGGCTTTCCTATATATAGCCTAAGTCTATATGAATCACCACTTATCCAGCTTTTATTCAGTTTTATCTTATATGGTCACATCTTATCTTTAAAGCTTTCAAGCAAAAACCTTTCCTTTTTGTACGAATCTTGCATCAAGATCATTGATATTGGGGTTTTGTTTAATTAAAAATTTGTCTTTCTTTCCTTTATTTGTATCTCTTCTGCTTATGAACATGTTTAATCTTAATCATGAAGATTTAAACATAATTAGTGAGTTGTCCACTTTTAAGCTTGGGATTAAGGTAGATTATAGTGGTTTGATGATCCATTTGGGTGCTAAGTTGTTAGTTTTTTGTTATTTCTTCTCTTGTGATTATGTTTAATGCTTAGTACCACATTTATGAGAAAGATATATTAGGCGCCAATATCATGCATTAAATGTGTTTGGCAATATGCTTGAATGAAAGTTTGTTGCTTAAAAATGGTGTTTTGATTGTCATGACTCTTATCATTTCTTGCATACTTGTTCTTAATACTTTAGTACTTAAGGAAATGGGTTATAACAGGCTATTGACCTCTAATCAAATCCTGTACACACTCATGTCATTGCAGCATGTAAGGTATCAATCCAAATGGGCAAAGTAAGCAATCAAGAATGCAATAGACAAATTAATTCAAGCAAGCATGATAAGATAAGAGAAATAATGATTCTAACAGCTAGAGAGACTTCAAATAAACTAGAGCAAGCAAAGCAAAACTAAAAAGGTAAGACAATTTCGAATTCTAACAATCAAAGACAAAGTGGGCTTGGGATAGGGTAATTGATTAAATTATACTTTCACCTTAACTAGTGGTGCTTACAAACCCACAACAAGTTATTCCTAGGCATAGAATTAACAGCTATAACTAGCTCAATTCCTTGAATACTAATCATTTTGATAAGCACATGTTCTAGACAACTTCCATTACTGAACAGATGATTAACAAGCATTATGATCAACTAATCCAATTCTTAGCTAATCCTTAGGCTAAGATAAGCGAATCTCTTACTTGACTCATTCAGGCAATTCATCAAACATTTATCAGGCATAAGAGAAACATAGTATCAAGATCAACTTAGCAAGGGCTAATCTAGCAATAAACGCAATCAATAATAATACACAATAACATTAAACACTAAACAATCACTAATCAAGCCTCAAATATCCCTGTCTTTATCTCATCTCAAACCCTAAGCTAACTACTCACTAAACATGGTTTAGCCATGAACCCAAGCAAAGGAAGATAGCTAATCATGTAAAGAGAGACGATAAACAGAAACTTAGATTGATTAAAGAAGATTCAAAGCAGAAGTTCAAGATTACAAGGAAGAAAACTAGAGAGAAAACTATTATCTAAAGGCTAAAAAGATAGAAAAAGATATATTCCAACAATTGGGTCTTAACATATTAATAGTGTTTCAGAAAAGCCCTTAGTAAACTAGGAATAAACCAGAAATTTTTTTAATTTGGAGCGGGTGTATTGGGGTATCTGGTCGATACGTTGGTCGATGCACATGTCATGTTAAGGTGTCTTGGCTTGTCTCCCCGATACGTTGTTAAGGCATATGGAGGTAGCACATCGATATGATGCTTGGTACATGTCATGCGGCTTGTGTATTGACCAGTATAGGTCGATATGCAAGTTCGTATGCCCCTGGACTTGCATATTGGGCAGCTTGCTCGGTACACTCCTCGGTATGGCCAGTTGTCTTCGTAGCGGTTTCAAGAAATTCTCGATAACTCTTCAACTGTATATCGGATCGACCTGAGATCAAGTCCATTCGCAACAAAGAGCTAAAACTTTGATGACGAGGGTTGATGCTGAATCCGAGGTTACGTCATTCATCCTAGCTGATCTTCTGTGATGTGCTTTGTAGGATGGTTTGTACCGGGTCGGTATGCCCGTTATGCACCTAGATATGCCTCTATATCGACCAGCCTTGATTTGTATACAGCTCAAGATGGGTCCTAGATCCTTGATTCTTCTTTGCATTGCCTTGGCTTAACCCTTTAATCCTTCTACAGCTCCTTATAGCCTCCAAACACTTCAAATGTACCTGCCATATACTCCAAATGCAACAAATATGCAATGCAACTTCTAAACTTACTCTAGGTTCTAAATATATGCAAATGGGACAAGAACAAGTTAAAAATGCATTCTTAAAGACTAAAAACTAGTGCTAAATATAGTGTATATCAACTCCCCCACACTTGCCTTTTGCTTGTCCCCAAGCAATCAAAGACAAATAAGAGAGAGAGGTTTGAAGGTGGGAGCTCAAAACTAAAGATGCCAATGGAAAAAATAATTCAATGCCCAAGTTATATGTTCTAAGATGTATAATGTTCTACTTTAAAAGCTTTAGCCATACTCATCCTAACAAACAATGAACTCAAGCTTAGCTTACACAAGCATTCAAATCAACCAACTCTTTAACATTCATTAATTGTAACCAATAGATCAAGTTTGTGCAAATCAAGTGAAAACATTTGGTCTATGTGTCATGGTTATGAGATGACAATGATCTCATGCAATAAAGGTTCAAACAATCACAAGGATCACTTAATGAAATGATTCTATATTAGGCAATATGCTAAAGGTAAAAGCACACTTATGCATGCAAGTTAAAGCTCTCTTCTACCATTTTTACCCAAAGATGAACCTAATAACTTCTACACCCCAAGTGAAATTCCTAGATCTACCCTTTCCCAATGCACATGTCATCTTCTTCTTCTTGGTATGTGGGGGAGACTCTTCTTCTTTTGCTTGTGTGGTCGACTTCTTTTTGGAACTTGCTCTCCTTTGTTGTGTGGGCGCCATTTTCACCACCTTTGGTTATTGCTTGGTCTGTATTCTCCTTTTGGGATGACCTTTGTAAGCTTTGTTGTTGTTAGCCCCTTCTCTTCTTTAGCACTTAGAGATTTCTTCCTTTTTACTTAACCACATAATCTAAATATCTTCCCCACACTTCTTCTTTCAAAAGATGCAAACAATTAAAGATCAAACCACTTAGCACTACCCTTTCCCAATCTCCTATCCTAGTACCAAGCTCAAAATATAAGCTGGTGTCTACAAGAGAGCTTCTCCTTTCCCGCCTTATTCCTAACACTTTTTGCCAAAATAAAATAAAAAATGATGCAATGCAAGGCCTCAGAACTCTCACAATAGTCTTTAAGTTCAGAAAGAAGAATTAGTTTAAGGTGTGGATAAGTGTACCATAATGATGAGGATCAGCTACTTGGATCAACAAGAGTGGTAAGAAGGGAAGAAGATGATCCAAATATGTATATGGGTAGCCATGTAGACACTCTCAATGCACAAACAAGATGATTCAAAATCAGATTAAGGTTCTAATAAGATAGAGTTAGAATCAAA